ATTCACACTTCTCATGCATGTAAACTGGTTGCGCAGCAAGCTGGCGACGAGCGCCCACTCAGAACTCAGAGATATGGCAAACAAGAACACAGTGCAGATACAACTCGCTTTAGATGGCTATGGCGACTCAACGCCTGTACAACTCTCAGTTCGCTCTCACAGGATCACCCTGGATATCCCACACGCGATACTCTGTACACACATACACGCACACACACACACACACACACACTACACTACCTACAGCTATGGCGGCTATGGCCGCTGCTAACCTATCGCTATGGCTAAACTCCTTCTCGCCCACTTCGTCTTCGGGCTCACTGCAGACCACCTCGCACAAGTCGCTGTGGCAGCGCTTCCGCATGGCTCACGCAGGAATGAATGAATGGCTGGGCGCTGCCTCTTGATTTATACTTCTGTATCTCGTTGGTCTGCCCCTTTTCCATGCCCGTGGTGCACACAGTCCCATGCGGTACTCGCTTGACTGGACTAGGACTGACTGGGACTGGGACCGCTGACTCAGCACGGGTAGACTCCACCACCGGCCCACTTGCCTCAGCCTAAACGTGAGCAGCTTCGAAAGGCCACTACCAGGACCTTCCGGAAGGCCGTGGACTTGGCCTTTCGATACTGTAGCAACTACGACCTTGACCCTTCAGGACTGTAGCAGCTACGACCTTGACCTTTCGGAGGAGCTACAGCTACGACTTCTAGACCTTGCTAAGACTCCTACCCGACAGGTCTACAGATCGAGCCCCTACTACCTACGGACCCTACGACAGTCTACCAACTGTTACAAATACCCAGGTCACGGGTTCAACTCTCGGGGTCAACACAGATACTGTACACAGGTAAGGTGAGTACTAGGGATCATCCCTGGGATCTGCATCGGCTACTGCGGACAGGTGAATACCGTTTCACTATAGGCTTCCTTGGTAGGAAACTATAGATGCATCTAAATAAAATGAAAAAAAAAAGAAGGAAGCTACACATGCATCTGTTTTGATTTTGCTGGTCTTGGTTTTGACGCTTCGGAATTGATGAACTCCCCAGGTTGAATCGTGCGGTCCCCGGCCTCAATTTGACCAGCTTTAAATTATAATACTTTTCCCATTAAAAAAAATATATTATTTATACACAATACTTTTCCCATTAAAAAATTGTAATGAACCCTGTCTGGCAGATACTCAGAAGTCGTCAAACATCAATAGTCTCACTATCTGCATCAAAGTCTCCAAATCGTGAAGTGACATCTCAAACAGTATCTCATTATCATCAAAAGAAGGAAGTGGAGGGGGAACAGACTAAGGAGAAGATGAAAGATCACACAATAATCCCTTGAGATCCCTCTTCGTCTCCGGGCTTCTTCCCTCTCCACATCAACAACGATAATAAGTATATTCCTGATCACACACAGTAGTGCCACGTGGCACTTTAACTCGTGAAGACCATGAAGACATAGCAGATTCGAGTGTCAACATCAACCTCAGGTGAGTACCGGATCTCCTTCATCCACAGATCCCGATCTTCCTCCTTCATACAACCAGTCACCTCATGTAGTCAGCGTGGATAGTGCCACGTCAGCAATTGCGATAGGTGGCATATGCCACATCATCAATGTAGACCAGAGGTAGCACCACATCAGCATGCAATGTTCACCAGAGGTAGTGCCACATCAGCATGCAATGTAGACCAGAGGTAGCGCCACATCAGCATGAAATGTAGACCAGAGGTAGCGCCACATCAGCATGCAATGTAGACCAGAGGTAGCACCACATCAGCATGCACTGTAGACCAGAGGTAGCGCCACATCAGCATGCAATGTAGACCAGAGGTAGCGCCACATCAGCATGCAATGTAGACTAGAGGTAGCGCCAC